TCTATCTATCTATCTATCTATCTATCTATCTCTCTCTCTCCCCCCTTTGCTCTGCTATCGGCAAGCAACCGCCCCCTGTGTCACTAACTAGTCCTTTTTATCACATTGCGGATCCTCCGTTTCTATGTACATCGCCCAACTGGGCATGTAACAGTTGGTATCGGAACACTGCACGCGAATCAGGACAACCTGATCTGAGACGTGTGCGGGGACTAAATAGCTGATTAGTCTTTATTGATTGATTAGCGCACACTTGTTAGACCACAAAATCACGATTTTGACCTTACTGTTGAAAATCGAAAAAAAAAAAATTCTTCTTCTTTTTCTTGGATTTTGTTTTCTCGCTATTCTGTTGTGGAAAATCGTAATAGCGCAACATCTGAAATTCCYATTTTCGTTTTTCYTCTAAAAATTCGAAATTTCGTTGTTGAAAATCCAGAATATCCTTCTTTTTGAAAATTTTGATTTCCTGTTGCATTTCCCGTTACTTAGACATTCAGAATATCTTCTTTTTCAAAATTCGTTTTTCTGAAAATGGTACGGGAAATCCCTCCTGCAAGTATTATTTTCCAAACTGCGAATACTCTCATCTGAGTAAGTCTGAATATTTCATTTCTTTTCAGATTTTTTTTTTTCGCAGTTTTAGGATTCTGTTAGTCAGTTCTATAAATCATTGCAGTCTGAAGTCAAAATTTTTTCTCATTTCACACTTGAAGGGAGGTTGGGAGACCTACTGAACTTGCAAAACTCGAGTTTTCGAAATTTTTTTTGCAAAGTTCAAACTTTTCTTTTTTGATTAGTGGCTCCTTATCTGGGCGATTCTTCCCACCCACCCTCCCCACCTATGTTGTTGCCCCCTTTGGCCTTACCTTGTCTATCTATCTTCGGTTACCCCCTGCGACGACATTGGTGAGTTGCCATGTCAGCAGGCCACGTCAACAGACTACATGTCAGCAGGCCACATCAACCGACAGAGCAGGAATACCACGTCAGCAAGCCCCCGTCATGGACCAGAGGTCCGGAGAAGCAGACGAGGCCTATCAGGCCCGGATGCTGGCTTGGAGTACCGAAACAAAGAAACGGGCGGATAACGCAGCAGCAATTGCAAAGAAGAAGGCAGAGGACGCTGAGCAGGCACGTCTGCTAGCACTTGAACAACAGCACCAGCATGACGAGGCAGCAGCAAGGGCGATCGATGAAGAAAGAAACCAACGTCGTGAGAAAATATTTAGCGGAGAGCAGACTTTGCTCACAATGGCAGCGGAATGGCGGACCGAGGCCGAGAATGGCAAGTTGGAGGATTGCGGCAACAAGATCGCTCTCCTCCTCTTGCATCTCACAGAACTCCTGGCAACCTGCATTACACAGCAGGAGGATATCCACAGCCTCGACGACTCGCTAGCTCAAGTCCAAGCCTGCCTTCAGCAGTTGAAGCAGCGACCTGTTGCCGCCCCCGATGCCAGCTCATCCAACACATCCGATCGCCTCGAAGCATTGGAGATGGACGTCGGCTCCCTCAAGGATGGCGTGCAATTACAGCAGACTGCGACGCAACAATTGGAACAACGGATCCGTACTGCCGCCAACACCTCAAGTTCGGAACCGCGCGAGACAGCTCCAAAGTTTGACGGGCATGAGATCTTCTACGACTCAATGAAGACAGATCCGATTCCATGGTTCCGCAAGTTCGAGCTCACGCTGCAGCTACACAACGTCAAAGAACACAAGCACCACGCATACTTGTACTCTCGCTCAGGGGGCGCATGCCAGGCTTGGTTAAACAACCTTTTGTCCAAGTACGGAGTGGTAGCTGCCGACTTGCACACCACGATCAGTTGGGATGATCTGAAGGCGACGTGGCACAAGCGGTTCCAAGTCGAGCCGCCGGAGATCAAGGCTATGGACAAGCTCATGGTCTTCGAACAAGGCACGCTGCCGAGTACCGACTCGATCGCCGAGTACCAACGCTTGACGTCAGTCCCAGACATCTTGATGGGCTTCAAAGCCATCCGCCACTATTTCATCTCAAGGCCATCATGATGTCCGACATTAAGCAATGCCCTGACTCGCGTCGATGACACCTTGACGACAACGACGAAACTTTTTGACAAGGCCACACAGATCATCATTACAAACAAGGAGGCTAGGAACTCGCGTTCGTCTGCGGCAGGCCCGAGAAGAGACCAGCATCGGCCAAGAGTAGTCGTGGTCGCGGCGACAACGCCGTTTGACGAGACTAGGGAGGCTGTGTCTGCCAATGAAGGAGATAGACTCGCAGCCGCCCGGGAAGGTGGCCGCCCCGGCAGAGGCCGAGGACGCGGCAAGACGAAGACACACACCGCATCTAGCCCCGGGCCCGGCGCAGCAACTCCAGCCCCTTGGTCCCAATATGGCATCTCCGAGCAAGCATTCAAGACGTGCATGAGATTCCACTATTGCCTATGGTGCAACAGGTGATCTCCATCGGACACTGGCCTGCCCATTGAAAGGCAAGGGCAAACAGGGAAACTAAGCACCGCCGAGAGTGACTCGACAACACTCTCGAAACCTCCGGAACCGGTTTCTTCGCGAGTAACCGACCTTCATTCCAAGGCGCACGCGGAAGTCGATAGTCCTCCTCTTACTTATTCTTTTGAGGAATATGCTGTCGGGCTCGTTCCTACGCTGGGTACTCAAGCTCAAGGACAAGACATGTGTGCGGCATCTTCTCCGTCCGGCAGCGGCGACTTATCGTCTTCAAGTGGTTCTTCACGGGATTCGGCGTGCGAGTTCAACATAGAGGTATTGGACCCGCTCACGTCCGAGGACTTTGCATGGCTTCCTCTCCCGACCACAGGCCGCGTGCCGGGACCGCAATGCGCAACACTATGCACTCATCTCCACACGTACTTATCCTTCTATGCACCACCAACTTCGCCGACGGATGACGAAGTCGCGGTGGGGGACATCATTGCGTATACTACCAAGGTGGCCCGCGAATTTCGCACGGAGCGGTAAGATGACAACAAAGCACCGCTCATGTATGTCCGCATCCAGGTTGGGCACGTCCTGCAATGCTTTGTTGGATAGCGGCACGTCTCGCAATTTCACGAGCCAATCCTTTATGCAAAGGGATGGCCTTGGCGCACAAGTTCAGAGGAAGGCAAACCCGACGGCGATCCAGTTGGCGGATGGGAAAACGCAGCAACTTCTCGACCGTTACATCGAGGTCGTACCGGTTTATTTCGCACCTTATGCATGCGAACCGGTGACGTTTGATATTCTCGACACGGACTTCGACATCATTCTGGGAATGCCTTGGCTTGCAAATGCGGATCACACTGTCAACTTCCACCGGCGGACGCTTAGCGTTCGCGACACCTTCGGTGCCGAAGTGGCGTGTACTATTCGTCTACCACATCCTTCGATTTGGTGCCAAGTGGTGACGGCCAAATCATTCCGGGCGACTTGCGCTTACGAGCAGCTCGAGGAGATCGGCCTATGTTTCCTACGGACCGCCGCGGTAGCCGACGCTTCACCCATGGACTTGTCTTCGGACCCCCAGGTGGTACGGTTGCTGGAAGAGTTCGCCGACATCTTCGAGTCACCTACCGGTGTGGTGCCAGATCGGCCGATCTCTCACGAGATCATTCTTGAGGTCGGTGTCGTGTCGCCGAAAGGTTGCATCTATCGGATGAGCAAGGAGGAGCTTGAGGTCCTCCCCACACAACTCGACGATTTGTTGGCCAAGGGCTGGATCCGCCCTAGTAGCTCCCCATATGGAGAACCGGTTCTCTTCGTCCGAAAGAAGAACAAGGATCTACGATTGTGTATCGACTACGGTAAGCTCAACGCGCAAACCGTCCAGAATGCGGGGCCTCTTCCTCGCATCGACGATCTTCTTGAGCGATAGGGCGGTGCAAAGTATTTTTCTAAGTTGGATTTGAAATCGGGATATCATCAAATCTCGATCCGGCCGAACGATCGCTACGAATCCGCGTTCAAGACGCGGTACGGGCATTTTGAGTGAGCGGTCATGCCTTTTGGCCTCACCAACGCCCCGACGACCTTTCAAGCGGCAATGACCAACGAGTTTCGTGCAATGTTGGACCGGTTCGTGCTGGTATACTTAGACGATATTCTCGTCTATAGTCGGACTTTGGAGGATCATCTTGGGCATCTTCGACGAGTGTTGGAGACGCTCTGCCGCGCCAAATACAAGGCCAACCGCGACAAGTGCGATTTTGTCCGGCAAGAGCTGGAATACTTGGGCCATTTTGTCACACCTGAGGGCATCAGTCCGCTATCGGACAAGATTCAACCTCGGAACGTCACGGATGTCCGTTCGTTCCTTGGCCTTGCCAACTACTACCAGCGTTTTATCAAAAGCTACTCGAAGATCGCAGCCCACTTGACCAAGCTTCAATGCGAGGATCGGCCGTTTGACTTCGGAGAGGAGGCGCGGTAATCATTTTTGGCTTTCAAAGCCGCGCTATTATCTGCGGAGGTCTTGCGCATTTACGACCTGCTTTTGCCTACGAGCGTCTCCACGGATGCGTCCGGCTATGGCATTGCCGCTGTCCTCAAGCAACATGATGGTATGGACTGGCACCTGGTCGAGTACTTTAGCAAGAAAGTGTCCGTCGTGCATTCCATTGACGATGCACGCAAGAAGGAGCTCCCCGCCTTCGTCCACGCGCTCAAGCGGTGGCGGCACTTCCTCCTTGGTCGAAGCCAATTTCGATGGGTAACAGACAACAATCCGTTGGTCTTCTATAAGACCCAAGACACTGTCAACAACACCATCGGTCGATGGATGGCTTTCATCGACCAGTTCGACTTCTTTCCCGATCACATTCCTGGGAAGTCGAACCGTTTTGCGGATGCTCTTTCATGGCATCTGGATCATTGTACCGCGGTCTACTCAACCTTTGGGATCGACGATGACCTGCGGAACAGCTTCATCCGTGGCTGCCAAGCCGACCCCGAGTTTCGCGACAAGTACGCAAATTGCTCCTCTCCTAATCCGGCGCCTTCTCACTACCGGATCCAAGAGGGGTACTTGCTTGTCCACACGTGGGGGAGGGACCTTCTTTGCGTACCGAGTGATCCTCACTTGCGTACATGGCTTCCTGGCGAGTTCCACGATGCTCCTGCCACCGGACACTTTGGAGTCAATCGCACGATTGGCCGACTTCGCAAGCGATTTTGGTGGCCCGACCTTCTCGGCGACGTCACGCGCTATTGCGAGTCATGCGAGGTTTGTCGACGCTGCAAATCCCGCAACCATCATCCGTACGGCGAGTTACGACCATTACCGGTCCCATTGCGGCGAAGGGAAGCGATTGCCATGGACATTACCAGCCCGTTCCCCAAGCACAAGACCGGAGTGGATGGGATTCTCACAGTGGTCGACCGACTCACCAAGTTCGCCATGTTTTTGCCTTGTCGCTATCATGCCAAGGCACCAGAGTTGGCCGAGGTTCTCTACGCCGGTTGGATTCGAACCAAGGGTTACCCCAAGGAAATCGTCTGCGACCGCGACACTCGGTTCATGTCCGATTTTTGGTTGGCGCTCATCAAGCGATGGGGCTCATCTTTCAAGCCCAGTTGAGCTCGCCACCCTCAGTCCGATGGCCAAACGGAGAGGGCGCACCAGACCGCACAGTTTCTCCTTCGCACTCTCATTCGTCCTGACCTGAAGGACTGGGTTGAGCAGCTGCCGAATGTCGAGTTGGCCTACAACTCTTCCATCCACCCAACTATCGGGATATCGCCTTTCGAGTTCGAGCACGGCTCGCAGGTCACTTCACCGTTGGACACTATTACTCCAAGGACGGCTGAGAGCGACGACCATCTTCTTTTCTTGTGTCGGATGCAAGAACTTCTTATCAAGGCACACGACTAGATGGCTAAGACGTAGCAGCGCATGAGCCAAAAGTTTATCGCCAACGTCTTCCTTCCCCATTCCGCGCCGGCGACCTCGTATGGGTTTCCAAAGCGGAATCCAGCCTTGAACAAGACATCTCTCGCAAGCTCCTTTTGAAATGGATGGGGCCTTGGCCGATCGTGGCACCCGCTGGGGATGCACCTGAGGGACTTTCCTTCACGATTCAGGTGCCCGCCCACTTGCCCGTCTACCCAGTCTTTCGTTGCTCCAAGTTGGCTCTTTACACGCCAGCGGAATACGATTTTCCTGGGAGACGTTCGCAAGACCCACCCTCCATGGATGGTTTTCAGGAGGTCAGCGACATCATCTCCCAACGACGCTACGGCAACAGGTCAACTGAGTACTTAGTACATTTTGCATATTGCACACACCAAGCTGGCCGTTGGTTGACCCGAGCGGAACTTCAAGCAACAGCTCCAGACGTTCTCGCACGCAACGAACGCAAGATGCAAGGCAAGCCGGTTTCTTCGGCTCGACGCCGCGCCCACATCCAGGTTCCACCTTCACATCGCCGACTTCGCCCTCGCCCCGGCTTGACTTCATAAGGAGGGGGGGGTGTTACATGTTGCGCATGCACACGCGGGCAATTTTCTAGGCCTTGCGTCCCTTAGGCTGAAAGCCTGAAATTCAGGCTAAAAGCCTAAAAACCAGGAAATACAGGCCCCGTAACAATTCAGCCTGAAAGCCTGAAAACAGGGGCCTACAGTCCCTGTGTCGCTTCAGACTAAAAATGGCAATAGCCTTTTTAGCCTGAAACGAAGGACCATTTTCGGTCGTTCATCAGAACGACCGGCCCTGAAACTCAGGCACCGAACCAGGGTTTAGGGAACAGGCTATTCTTAGCCTGTTCCCCTAGCCCGCCTCACCAGCTGCTGCAGCCAGCCCCTCGCACACTTCGCCATTGGCAAGAGCAGCCTCCTCGCTCTGGCTCGCCCTTCAGGAAGTCAGGAGGCAGGCCGAGGTAGTACATAGGGACTTCCCGCGCACTTCACGGGTAGGCAGGAGGCAGTAGTAGTCTTCAGGATTCGATCGCAGCACTCTAGAGGGAGCGTTGTAGAAGCAGTAGTAGCGTTAGCCTTAGTCTTCAAGCGCTGGGCGCAGTAGGTAGCTGTAGTCTCCAGCGCTGGGCGCCATAGCTAGGATAGCACTAGAGAGAGAGAGATTGGGCGGAGGCCAGAGGTACTTACATGCAGCGCCGTTGCTCCAACTTCGTCTTCGAGGTACTTGCAGCACAGCGCCAACATCATAGGTTAGTATCTGGCTCGTAACAGAGAGAGAGAGGTCTTCTTCTTCCTCTTCTCAGTCCACCATCTCCCTCTCACCTTCTCATCATCCTACTTCACTGCATCTGCAGACTACGAGAGAAGAGAGAAAGAGCTTGGTGACATCGGATCCACACTCGACTTTTGGAGTTCAGACATTGCAACGAGGGATTATTTGGGACTGGTGACAAAGACTTGGTGTTAACGAAATTCTCATCTCTCCCTCTCCTCTTCGTCTGCGTTCAAACATTGATTGGGCTAGTCATTAGCATCCTAGCATTCTGCTTCACTATCTGATACTATGTGAATGAGGTCAGTCTCAGTCAGGTCAGGATTTGTATCTAAGTCTTCCTTGCGCTATTCAACAGAATCAGCACCACTTTGTATGTATTAGAATGCACATTGCTTGTTGAGATTCTACTTGCACTGCATTGTCCATTCAGTCCTTTTTATCACATTGCGGATCCTCGGTTTCTATGTACATCGCCCAAATGGGCATGCAACAGCTATGTATACACCCGTACCAATACAGCCCGTCTATACGGCCGTACGTCCGTACGTACGGGCCCCCCAGTGCCCGTACGGCCCGTACGTACGGACTTTGGGCCCTCCGTACGTCCTTTCGCTGGGGGTGTTGAGGGGGTGGATGGGCTGGGGGGGTGTCGGGTGTCAAGGGGTTCCTCCCCATCAAAAAAAAAAAAAAAAAAAAAA